AGACTCTCAAGTTTCAAAACTCTAGCAGATCCATTGATCATGCAGTTGATTAAAATTCTACGTAAACCAAATACTAGAAAAGAACAAAAAAAGACTAAAACATGGTATCTAAGTGGGAGGGTAGAGGGGCCGGCCAATGCTCACGCAAGTTGCAAACAATTGCACCAACTAGCAGAGACGGATGTAGTATTCTACCAACGGGTTTAACTGAACCCATAAATTTTGATACAGAGAGTAAAAATCTGTATGTAAATATTCATTAAAATTGCAAAAATAGTAGATATGAACCCATAACTTTAAAAATATAATGAGTTCAATGCTAAAAACCTTAAAAGTTGAACCCATAGAGTTTAAATTCTGGATCCGCCTCTGTCAACTAGGGCTGGACCAGCTAACGCACGGGGGATTTCTTGATTATACAACAACAAAAAGAACCAGAAAAAAAAAATCAAAAACAAAATGGGCATTTATTGCACTTATTGCAGTTTCACCCACATCACATTTGAGTGTATCATTCCAGGCAAAATCTAAGGGGTAGTGATTTAGAGGCCAGAAATGACTTCAGAAGAGAAATAAGCCATATAATTGAGCAGAGATCATTGTAAGCATCACTATGCAACCATGCCATTGTAGCCACTCAATGGATCACTCTTTTGTTCATGATCAATTCTAGATTATTTCATCCCCGTGCAGTATGGAGTGCACCTCAGTTGGCCCCTGCGGAGTTCAATCTGTCAACATCAACTAATTGGTACAAATCCCCTCGCCTTTGTTTTTGAAATGGAAGGTATGTTCTGCACATCAAAAAAGGGCCAGAAAAGGAGTTTGAGTAAATGAATGGGCCAGAAGAAGATAATCATGACTTCTAGATAAGCTCTAAGCATGAACATAAAATGGCAAAGTGGACATATTGACGCCTCCATCCAACAAAAGGGACGGACGATTAACCATTAAAAGATCATTTAGGATGACTAACATTGACATAAAAATGCAGGGAAGCAACAGATGGAAATAACTGAACAAATAAAGTGTGAATACATATTTGATCTAAAACTGATCTGGGAGGTACGGGAGAGACTCACCTTCTCTGCTCAATTACTGAATAATCAATCTCTGCTATTAGTGTAGTCTCCTCATGTTCTGTTGTCACAAGCACTTCTCCAAACTGCCAGGTTTAGTTTCTTAGTATGCTTTTCATTTTCTTGTTTTTTTTTTTTTTGGGGAAGTAGGGGGGAAGGGGGGGGGGGGGGGGAATTGGATGCATGGGTTAATCAGCATAAGATATTTAGTTACAGTTGAAGCCACGTTTACAAAACATGTGTTTCTTATATAAAATTCTTTTTTCACCATTCATCTGCTCGTTAGTAAAAGCTTTTTTAAAACTTTTCCGTTTCTTCTTGAAAAGTCACATGAGGAAAATGTTAACTAAGATCTTTGAAACAAGGCACGTCAGACATCAAATACTCACCGGTCCAACAAGAGTGGAGTGTCCCCAAGCTACATAACTAGAACCACTATCTCTGGCGGGTGAACAAGTTGCTACATACAGCTGAGATAAATATGTACAGAAGAAATAAGACCAGATCTTTGGAATAATAAACACAATCAGCTAACAATGAGATTCAGAAGAAAATAGTGCTCAACTCAGAAGTTTAACTTCTGTAGGGACAGACAAAAGTTCTACATTTGAATTGATGCTTATAAGCAGCAGAGTAATACTAAAACATGATTTGATCCTACTGTTAAGTAGAAACTTAAAATTCCTACTCAACTATAAATGATAAGAAAGAGGAAAAAGATAAAGCATTTTCACATCAAAGAAGCACCCCGCTTCTCACAGGGAAATTATAGTGTCTTCTGTTTTGGAAATTTAAGCATACTGAAATCATCCATGAAATCCATAATGGATTACATGGCCAAGAATTTACATGTTTCCCGACACAGAGACAAAGAAACAGAAGAATCTTTAACATCACATAAAGCAGTGCATTTGTTTTGGTATTGAACTCTTGAAATCTTCCAATCACAGCAGCGCATACATAAACTTCAAAGAGGTTCAAGAAACTTTGCAACTAAAACTTTCTAAGACCAATCCCGCAAAAGTAATAAGATTAAGATGTGGAGCATATTGGTATCAGCAGTATACCTGGCAATCCGCAGCCCTGCAGGTCAAGCAACATAGATGTTACTAGTTATTCTCTTTGTGCATGTAAAGTCGAATTATTCTACAGACTTCATCAAAACTTGACTACATATGTAAATGAACGAAAAGGAGTGTCTCTAAAATTTAATGCATCAAGAAGGAACCAAAGCATTTAACGGATATAGTCCCTCCATATAATTCAACGAATTTATTGTGCTCTCAAAGAGTTGACTAGTTTCCAAACTGAAACCTACAAGGACTAGTTAGCATTTTAAAGATAAACCTTAAGGAGTGACAGAAACAACCGATCAAAAAAGTTACAGAAACAAAAAAAAAGAATTGGAAGAGAAAATAAAACGATACTAACAAATCCCAACATAAAATCATATGGAGTTAAAAACAAAAAAAAAACATCCATCAATTTCCACAACTTAGCAATAATAACTTAGCCTAATGCAAGACGGTTAAACCAAAAAATGAAAAAGAAAAACTTAGCCTAATGCAAGAATAACAATAGCATTTGCTATAATGTTTCCAAGATAAAAATCAATAGAGTTGAGCACATGGTCAACAATAATTATCAGTAACAATTTGTTGAACGTCTCAAAGTACACTCTTTACTCACAAGATGCCCTTGTTTACTCCACTATTGGGGGTAATCAAGAAAAGGTTTTATAGGTTGTGATTTGTTTTCAATATCTCTGCACTAAGACATTTAACAAACAAACTATACAGCATGTGAAATGATAACTATCCATTCTGATTTCATTTGTAAAGAATATCAGCTGGTATATGCACATTTAGTTGCTAAAACAGAATGCCAGAAACTAAGATGAAACTCAACATTTCACAGCTCCTTTTTACAATTCAAAAAGATTTCAACATCAAAAGAGAAGATCACAAAGATAGCCCCAATAATATTTTGTAACAAATGATATAAAGGATCCAAAGATAGCCCCCAATGATTCTTTGTAACAAATGATATTAAGGAACCACAGCATCCCTAGTAACACGCTAGCACAGCTTCTAAGGAATCAGCCTTTCTTACACGATAGGCTAACTGTTAGTTACATATGTACTGATCAGAAAAATATGTAGTTCTAAGTTCGTCACTACCTTGCCCGTTGCAACAACTCCCAATGCAGTGGACCAGTGGTCATGTTAAAAGCGCCAGGATAACAGAGCAGATGAGCACCTAACATATAGGAAAAAACAGTACTTGATAAAAATTGAGCTCATAGTGGCACGGTAAAACAGACATAGTAGCCCATTTGCTTCCATTTCCAAAATCTAGATGAGGCAGGAATGCAATTCCTATGTCACAACTAAATTATGGTCTGGGTAATGGCCATTTTATGATGTAGAAAATATGATGAACCACATATTCTGCAGTGTATTTCAACTGTCTTTAACTTGTCAATGCTTCCATTCCGATCACAAAAAAGTACAATCTTCCAATGTCTCAGAAGTGAAGAACTTCTTTTGATCAGAGATCAGAAGTAAAGAACATAACTTGGAGGTCTACAAAGTTCAGTAGAATAAGAGAAGACAGATATGGTAGGTCTTCTGGATGAACATTACATAACAAAGCAGAATAACTTCCTTGCATAGGGAGACGATGGAAAGTTAAATAATGCTAGTACACAAATTGAGAAGTAGATAACTAATACCTCTTGCAGCATAGATAGCTGCCAGTTCTTGAAAGCGAATGTCATAGCATATACCAATACCAATACGTCCAACCTCTGCGTATGAAATTAACTAGTTACTTCTGGTAGCTCTACTGAATGTAGCAAATACTTTGGCATAAAACCACAGAAATATTAAACACATTTACATCAACTAAATTCAGAAAAAGAGAAAAACGTTGGCTATATGATGTGCATCATTCCTAGTGAAGAGCTGCAGCTAACAAGATATCTTCAAAAAGCAGACACCAGTACAAAAGAATAAAACAGCAGGTGCTGATTAGTACTATGACACTCACCATCAGACTTAGAAAAAGTTGCAAGTTTCCTCCTACGTCAGAATACCTCATGAACTTTTTATTTGAACTAGTCAAACAAGGGCATAACCAACCGATCAAAAAAGGGCATATCCAACTTGTAAGCGCCAAATTTTATACCAAACTGAATAGGTGAACAATGTACTCCTATAACTTAATTTGGTAGAAAGCTTGTCTAACCTGTGTCGACAATAGTAGGTCTCGCTCCAGCTGTAAGAGTCTTTGATTCTTTGAAAGTCATCTTTCCTGGAATGTCAATGTCAAAGAGATGTATCTGCAAAAACATTGCTTTCTGATTGAATTAGTTAAACCACTAAGGGAGGCTCAAGAATTCTAAACAAGCAATTAAATAAATTTATGAGAAGTAGATATGATGAACACATTTGGATGGCAAACGCTTGTGTCATAATCATTTTCCTTTTTTGTGTGTTTTTCTTATAAATCTTTCCAAATGAGAGAGCAAATGTTCAGACCTTCCTATGCTTAGCCATAAGCTTTCCATCTGTGCCGAAGACACAACAAGTGTTATATAATTTATCACCGATGCGCTCAGGTAAAGAGCCACCAATAATTGTAATCTTTAGACTCCGAGAAACTTCAGATAACATCCTTGTTGAAGGAGACGCATCTCCACCAGCATCGATGTCCTCGGCATATACTGGAAAACTGTCATTGGAATATGGACTATTCCATATTTCCTGTCATAGTAGGAAGTGATTCTGTTTATTTAATACTTACTTTGAAACAGGAGGAGAAGCGTAAAAAGAGATACTAATGGAGCAAACCGTTGAATGTAAACAGTAGTAAGACAGCATAGGGCATTAAGCATCATGAGTTGAACAATGTCAAAGAAAGATCTTAGAACTCTCTCACTGCAATCAAATACAAAGAAATGCCGGACAGAAAATAAAGGCTATTTTCATGATCATAATTGAGGAAAGCAAATTAAGTAAGAACAAGGAAATAGTTATGTGAAACATTTTGAAAACGGGAACAGATTCTATTTCTTATGTTTTCAGATTTTTCGTAACACTTAATATCATAATTTAGTTCAGAAATGAACTTAAGGTCCACTATTCGTGGAATTCTGATATCAAAAAGCCTCCAATAAACCATGTGAGTCATAGTGATGAATCTTGCCGGTAATAACAGATTAAAATGCAGATACCCTACTGGCAACAGAATCTGTCTCTGCACGACTCCGCCTTACTTGAGTCTAGAGAGACGACAACATTGAGCTGGTTCAGAGACCATTTCTAGAAAATAAAAGGAAACTTACAGGGAGAAGAATAAGCTGAGCACCCTTGCCCGCAGCATCTTCTATTGCCTGCTTAGCATGAGCGATGTTTCTCTCCTTATCGCTAGTTACAGATAATTGGCAAAGAGCAATCTTGAACTGATGCACAAAAGCAAATTATGACATCATAATGCAGCTCTAACCCGCAAATTATTGCTCAAGTTGAAATGGCAGTCCATAAACAAGAAAAAAGTTCCAACTTTTAAATATTTTATGAGATTTTAAAATATCTCCCCATTTGACTGTAAAGATTAGTAGTAAAAAAAATTCACAAATGTAATTTATAACCATGAAAAATATTAAATCAGTATGATCATTTTGTATTACTGAACCTATTCAAACACATAAGGTAACACCTCTGAAGACGATAAAATTGGACTAAATTTGGTAGCCTAATAAGTAACTGTTCAAAAAAGCCCGCATTTTGCAACTTGAAGTCCGCATAAAAGAATTAAAGAAAAAATTGAATAGATAAATATATGCAAATTGATAATAAAAAGTGAGTAACAGTTGCCTTGGTGACAGGAGGAGTAGGCAAGGGAAGTGCGGCAGGAACCCTAGCTTCCTCAGCCTTGAACGAAGCTTCCATTGTTGCTGAAACAATGGAACGCGAAAACTTCGAGAAGTTTCTCTTATTGACGAAATTGCTGTGATGAATAAACGAAAATGCAGAATCTGAGCGAAATTTGAAAGAGAGAGAGGAATTGGTAAATGGAAGAACGTTACGGTAGCAAGTCGAGATTCCACTGGCTTTCATTTGCAGAGCTCTGTTTTTGTGCTAACACCTGGGTTTACTTGTACGATTCGCGAGGAAGTCCAGTTTTATTTTATTAGCCCCTTTTCTTTGGGAAAATGTCAATAAGATCCCTTAATTTTTCGAAAATAATATTAGTTTTATTTTATTCAGCCCTTTTTCTTTGGGAAGATGGCAATATGATCCCTTAATTTTTCGAAAATAATATTTGGATATAGTGGCTCAAATTTGGGATCTTTAAACTAAAAGTTAGTCATATTCACTATTTATTTTTTTCTAGTCATATACATAGGTTATACATAATTATACTCATGTACTACATAAATTAAAGCATATATTATACATTCAATGGCTATTTTTAATTTAAGCGATTAGACGGTCGACTATTTAGGTTAATTCTTTAACAATATTTCACGATCTAAACCATGCAACTTAAGGTAAAAATTTCATGACGGAACCTATTTGGAAGCTCCATTTAGCCCATCGCCCGTTTTTTTAAAATAAATAAATAATTGGTACTAGTTAGTATAGGCTATTGCTCTTAATCTGCTTTTTGGTATCTATCTATATAGAATAACAAAGGCAAAACAATTTGGGAGTGACAAGTGGAATTCCCTAATGCTAACACCTGTTAAAAAATTGGACAACTCTCCAATATAGTTGGAGCTTCAAAGTAGCACACCTTCGCAGAAATTATCAAATCTCCTATTGCCTTCAAAGTCCCACACGTTTCAAATCTCCCTCAATTTATGGGATCCATTGCTCCCACACTCATAGGTAATTAAATACCCACGTTTTGGCTTTTACTCCCACATTCAGAGGCAATTCAATACCCATTAATATTCCCACGTTCACAGAAACTCTAAATATCCCACGTTCCACTTTTTTGCTGAGATTAACATTGCCTTCAAACTTTCAGTTTCCCACGTTTCAGTTTCCCACGTTCTCATTACTTTCTTTTTCACAAAGTAAACTTGAGAACATTTTAATCAACATGGAAAGAACCTCTTATTCTTTTTCACTGTGTTTTCTCAATTCCAGAAACTTTCAGTTTCCCACGTTTTGCCTTACTGCTACTGCCACAAAAACGTCGTCATTCTCCCACCATTGATTTAACTCCCAAACATGGGCTTCCAATTGAAAAAACCATTTTTTATCTGCACATCTATATATATCGGATTTATGTGCTTTACATTTTCAAAACCTTTTCAACTTTATATNTATATTTCATTCTGTTATCTCATGTATTCGAGACAAACAGTGTTATATTTCTTTCAAACGGTTGTATTTAGTACTCTTAGTAGTCCGTGAGTGATGTGACACCAGTTCTTGGGTAGAGGCATATGTTGATTTTCGCATTATTGTTCAGCTTATTTAATTTAAGTCTTCCGCTTAAATTTCATATTTCCGCTGTTATTTAAATATTTAACGCTTGCTGTTATGATTGATAAAAAGGATTTAAAATGAAGGAGCTAGGAGTTTATGATTTGTGGCTTGCCTAGCTTCTACGAGTAGGCGCCATCACGACCCCCGAGGGTGGGAAATCCGGGTCGTGACAATTTGCTATCAGAGCTCTAGGTTACATAGGTCTCACAATTCACGGGCAAGCTCAGTAGAGTCTGAGGGATCGGTACGGAGACGTCTGTATTTATCCCCCAGAGGCTACAGAGTTAGGAAAAGTTTCACATTTGTTCTTTCTTGTCGTGCGGTTCGGTTTCTCAATGCTAATTGAATTTCTACTCTGTTCTTTCGCAGATGGCGAGAACACGCGCTTCCTTATCTACCGCTCAGCAGCTCGAGCCCCCAGCAGCAGTACCCACTAGGGGCAAAGGGCGAGGCCGAGGCCGTGCTAGAGGCCGAGGTAGGGGCAGAGCTCAGCCCCAAGCAGCAGCACCAGTGGCGGAGCCTCAGGTTGATTTTGATGAGGAGGTTCCGGCCCCAGCAGTTTCAGTGGGCCCAGCTCAGGTCCCAGAGGGGTTTATTGCTACCCCAGTTCTTCAGGACGCTCTGGTCCGATTGGTGGGCCTCATGGAAAGTGTCACCCGTGCAGGCTTGCTTCCTGTAGCACCAGCCACTTCTCAAGCTGGAGGAGGGGCCCAGACTCCTGCTACTCGTACTCCGGAGCAGGTAGCTCCCCAGATTCAGACTCCAGCAGTTCATCCAGTTGGAGCAGCTCAGCAGGGTGTGGTAGCCCAAGCCAGTGATGGGGCAGCTATGTCTGTCGATGCTTTATGGAGATTGGATAGGTTCACCAAGCTCTTCACTACTACCTTCAGCGGTGCATCTACCGAGGATCCTCAGGATTATCTGGACAGCTGCCACGAGGTTCTTCGGAACATGGGTATTGTTGAGACCAATGGGGTTGATTTTGCTACATTTCGCTTGTCTAGATCCGCCAAGACTTGGTGGAGGGATTATTGCTTAGCTAGACTAGCAAAGTCGCCAGCCTTGACCTGGGAGCAGTTCACGCAGCTATTTTTGGAGAAGTTTCTCCCTATTACACAGCGAGAGGCCTATCGGAGGCAGTTCGAGCGTCTCCAGCAGGGATCCATGACAGTCACCCATTATGAGACCAGGTTCATTGACTTGGCTCGCCATACTCTTATTATACTTCCCACTGATAGGGAGAGAGTGAGACGGTTTATTGATGGGCTCATTCAGCCGATTCGTCTCCAGATGGCTAGAGAGGCTGGGAGTGAGATATCCTTCTAGGAGGCGGCCAATGTGGCCCGGAGAGTTGAGATGGTATTATTACAGGGGGGTGGTCACAGGGCAGACAAAAGGCCGCGTCAGTCAGGCAGATTCAATGGTGCCTCGTCTGGAGGCAAAGATTCGTATGATAGGGGTCATCCTCCTAGGCCCTTCCAGTCAGCACTCCAGGTTTCTCACGGTGCCTCAGGTGGTCGTGGTTCTCACACGCATTATTCTGATCAGCAGCCCTTCAGTGCACCGCCAACTCCTATCAGTGCACCGCCGCTTCAGAGTTTCCGGGGTGGTCATTCAGGTCGACCGGGTCAGCAGTCTCAGCAGCCGAGGGCTTGTTACACTTGTGGTGACACGGGTCACATTGCTAGGTTTTGGCCTCGAGCACCGAGTAGCTCTCAGCATCAGGGTTCCCGTGCCATGGTTCAGGCACCAGGTGTTCCACAGCCCGCCCAGCTAACTAGAGGTGGGGGTAGAGGTGCTAGAGGTGGAGGTAGAGGTCATAGAGGTGGAGCTCAGACCACCAGAGGTGGAGGCCAGCCAGCAGCAGGCCGTCCCAGAGAGGTAGATCAGAGTAGTGGGGTCCAGCCCCGATGTTATGCTCTTCAGGCCAAACCCGAGGCAGAAGCTTCAGATGCGGTTATTACAGGTACGGTTCTGGTTTGTGATAGGGATGTTTCAGTGTTGTTTGATCCGGGGTCTACGTATTCGTATGTGTCATCTTATTTTGCCCCGTACTTGGTCATGCCTAGTGATGCATTGAGTGTTCCTGTTTATGTGTCTACACCGGTGGTTGATTCTATCGTGGTCGATCGAGTCCATCGTCTTGTATTGTGGTGATTGGAGGTCTTGATACTCGTGTAGATTTGTTGCTTTTAGACATGGTTGACTTCGATATTATATTGGGGATGGACTGGTTATCACCTTAACATGCTATCTTGGACTGTCATGCCAAGACTGTGACCTTAGCTTTACCAGGTATGCCTCGTTTAGAGTTGAGAGGGACTCCTGGTCATTCTACCCGCAGTGTTATATCGTATGTGAAGGCTCGGCATATGGTCGAGAAGGGGTGTTTGGCCTATTTAGCCTATGTCCGCGATTCTAGTGCTGAGGTTCCCTTTATTGATTCTGTGCCCATTGTTCATGAGTTCCCTGATGTTTTCCCTTCAGACCTGCCGGGTATGCCACCCGATAGGGATATTGACTTTTGCATTGATCTGGTATCGGGCACTCAGCCCATTTCTATCTCGCCGTATCGTATGGCGCCGCCTGAGTTGAAAGAGTTAAAGGAACAGTTGCAGGATTTGCTTGAGAAGGGTTTCATTAGACCCAGTGTTTCGCCTTGGGGTGCGCCGGTGTTATTTGTCAAGAAAAAGGATGGGTCAATGAGAATGTGTATTGATTATCGGCAATTGAACAAGGTTATAGTCAAGAATAAGTATCCGCTGCCGAGGATTGATGATTTGTTCGACCAGCTTCAGGGTGCCTAGGTATTTTCCAAGATTGACTTGCGATCTGGCTACCATCAGTTGAGGATTAGGGCATCAGATATCCCTAAGACAGCATTCCGCACTTGGTACGGGCATTATGAGTTCTTGGTTATGTCATTCGGGTTAACTAATGCCCCAGCAGCTTTTATGGATTTGATGAACTGAGTGCTCAGGCCTTATTTGGATTCATTCGTGATAGTCTTCATTGATGATATATTGATATATTCCCGCATCCAGGAGAAGCACGAGCAGCACCTTAGAGTGGTTCTTCAGACTCTGAGGGATAGTCAGTTGTATGCTAAGTTCTCGAAGTGTGAGTTCTGGTTGGGTTCAGTTGCATTCCTTGGTCATGTTGTGTCAGCAAAGGGTATTCAAGTTGATCCGAAGAAGATTGAGGTAGTCAAGAGCTGGCCTAGACCATCATCAGCTACAGAGATTCGGAGTTTCTTGGGGTTGGCAGGCTACTATCAACGGTTCGTGGAGGGGTTTTCATCTATTGCAGCTCCGATGACCAGATTGACCCAGAAGGGTGCCCAGTTCAGATGGTCGAATGATGTGAGGCGAGCTTTCAGAAGCTCAAGACAACTCTGACTACGGCACCGGTATTGGTTTTGCCCACAGGTTCGAGGCCTTATACAGTCTATTGTGATGCTTCCCGTGTTGGGCTTGGAGCAGTCTTGATGCAGGACGGCAAAGTCATTGTCTATGCTTCGAGGCAGTTGAAGATTCATGAGAAGAGCTATCCGGTTCATGATTTGGAGTTGGCAGCCATAGTTCACGCATTAAAGATTTGGAGGCATTATCTGTATGGCGTGGCATGTGAGGTGTTCACGGATCACAAGAGTCTTCAGTACTTGTTCAAGCAAAAGGAGTTGAATT